TAGTAGAACAGAGGGAGGATTTTTGCGGCAATATACTCCAATTAACCTCGGTGCGATTGCGCAAAACTCTTCCTTTTTGGACGTGTATCGAAACTCCGAAACGACTGCTGAAGCGAATTCAGCACATGAATGTCTGTGCTGTGAACTAGAATTAGAACAATCAAACATTTCTTCTTCAACATATTTCAATATTTCTAATTTTATAAATATGCGACTCTTACAGCTTATCGATGGTTAAAAATTCAACCGTCAAAACGTCAAAACAGCACAAGATCTTCACGGCCTATAGACGTGAAATGTTTTCTTTGATTCTTTATAATTATGCTGCGAATCATTTGCAATCGAATTTAAAGCTTGATTGAATTGACATTTGTTTTATCGAAATTCAAATTTCAACTTTAAAAAACCCTTTATCACCTTTTTTAGAAAAAATCTCCGAAAACTAAAAACTAACGCCCATTTTACTTTGTCAAATATTTTTCTTAAATTCCGCGCATGCGCATAACTTACAAAACCACTCAACGTCAAACGTCCATGACATAGAATTTGGACAACTTTGGAGACCGCTATCTTCTGTCAAAATACCCGGATGTATTTAATATCCCGGCGGAATTACTACCCTCGCACGGTGGTTCGCAGCCCCTCTTTCGGCCAATTGGATAATGCCTTTCTATGCTTTCTAAAGAACGAAGCTAAGCTATTGGTTGAAACAGAAATGTATTGTAAAGTTCAGCCAATAAAAATCATTCTTGCGAAGAGCTGCTACACTACCCGCGGCTCGGGGATAAAGAGAATAAAGCTACGTTTCGATCATCTGATATGCTTCTTTTTAGGGGTGTCCCAGTTGAAAACAAATATCATCAGCCAGTTCATTGAAGAAATGGATATATTTTGTGAGCTTCAGTGCGCTGTAAACCGTTTTTGCGTCGCGTATAATTACAAGAAAAAACTCGATGGAAATGAGTTTAACTGTCAACTGACCAACACAACTGAGCATAATTTTGACAAACATGAAGTTGCCAAGGAAGAGCAAGTGTGGACGTTTTACAAGATTAACGTGGGCAGAAGTCAATTTGTAAGAATGTATTCTTTGTTTTTAATATAATTTGGTTTGAATAATACCATCTTCGTTATATTGGAGCTTTATAAAGATCATTATCAGCCTCTTAACTAACGGTAAAAAGTTCTCATAGCCCAAAAAGTTATTCCCAGGGGTAATTATCATACAATATTTAAATTTTGAAGGCTACCTGTAGAGGAGAAATGAATGAATGTCATAACGGAGGGACCATGATTTGGCATCCAGAAAAACAGTATTTGTGTCAGTGTTTGGAATGTTACGAAGGAAGTCGTTGCGAGAACGGTAATGACAGTACTGTCACGAAATAACCTAACCGCAACCTAACTGCAACCCCATGCACTGCCAATTAATTGCAACGTAACCGCGACCTGACCGCAACCTAACTGCAACCCAACCGAAACCTAACCGCAAGCGCAGTGTTATATTGCAGGTAGGTTGCGGTTAGGTTGCAGTTGGGTTGCGGTTGACTTGGGGTTGAGTTTCGGTTGGGTTGCGGTTGGGTTGCGGTGAGGTTCCGGTTATGATACGATCGCGGTTACCGTTCGAACGGAATGTTATGAACCGCTGAGAACGACAACACAATAATCAAAACAAAAACATCTAAAGAAATGTTTGTCAGAGTCAGTGGATGATACCGAGTTTCGACAGAGGTTTTACCTCACTCTTACCGTGGATCGACTTGTGTCAAACCTTGGTTCAACCGAGGTTTGAACTATGTCGACAGTGGTTTTTGCTAGTTTTTTTTCGACAGTACTATACATGTAAAACTAAAGTAAACAAGGGAGAAATTTCAGAGGAAAGAAAGGTGGTGAAAGAAATTTTTCTTCCATTTTTATTAACATAAAACTTTCGCAATTATCGCTACATTGGTTGAAATACTTAAAGTAATCACCACACAAGTGTTGCATTCAAAATCCATACAATTTCATTGCTCCATCAAGATTCCTTAGTACTAGTTAAATAATCATTATGGTGTTCATTGAGTGTGACGTAATTAAAATTTGAAGAAGCGGGACTAAATCATATTCTAAATGAGCCCGCGTAAAATTTTTTATGACATATTTACCTAATTCTAGCGTCCGTTATACATACAGCTTATGGAAAGGAAAACGTCGATTTTTCAAGCGAATTATTTTAGTTGACGGACTATAAGGCAGACGGATTAAAACATATGTGATTTGGGAAGTTTTTGTGGATTGAACAAACTATTCTTTATATTTGTTAATTGCTTGTGATTTACACCATGCAATTTATTAAAGGTCATAGATGGGTGTAGATCATTGAGATATTCCAGAAGATGGTTTAGTTCTTCAATCCCGTGAGACCAAAATAATAAGGAAAACGTCATCCACATAACATTTCCATAATAGGGGCTTCAATTACAGCCTCGTCCCCGGCGCGGCGGGGGAACACGCGTGGGTCAGTGGGGAAGCTCTCGCGGGCGGAGCGCCTGGCAGAAAATGCATTCAAGATGATTGCCAAACAAAGAAATGAGCAAGTATTTCCTAAGTTGACAGATAGTGAGCGTTCTTTGCTGGACACAATGCGAAGACCAATATTCGATGCGTTTATTGGAGGAAAGGTTTTGTGTGGGGGAGAAGACTGTGTCAAAAATTAAGATGTAACAAAATGTAACAAAATACACTTCTCTTCGATTTCTGTAGAATGGCTTGCATTTTCTGCCAGGCTCTATTTCGTGTTAAAATCCCTGCGCGCGACATTCCCCACGCGCACGACGCGCACGTAATGGAGCCTGGGGACGAGGCTGCTTCAATTAACAGTTGGCTAGTGCTTTTTCTTCGAAGTCTTCCATGAATATATATTTGCTAAGATTGGAGAGAGAGGTGAACCCATAGGTCCACCACTTGTTCTGTTCATAGAATTGATCTCTCCACTTGAAGCAAGTTGAGGAAAAGCAAAGTTTAGGTAGATCAATAATTTCGTCTACTGATAAGTCAGTGCGTGAAAATAAGTTTGTGGACATAAGTGAGTGCGTTTTCGTCTACTGATAAGTTAGTGCGTTATGTGTGCGCACATAGTTTGTTTGTATCTAAACTTTTCTCTGATGATGCCCCGAGCTCACAGGCCGAAAGCTTAGAGACTTAATAAATGACATGGTGAAAATCACAAGCAATTAGCAATTACATTTAATAACACCATGCAAAACTTCAAAGAATAAACTACTCTCTATGGCCTTAATAAGTCTACCCCTAAGAAAACTTTCACTCTCAAATAAACATCTTATTTACAGTGCTTGCGAAACCTCTTGGGATGGCAAATGGTATTATTAGTAATAACCAAATCAATGCATCAAGCCAGTGGGGAGGTCATGTTCATCCGAACAGAGGGAGATTAAACATGACAGGGGCATGGTCATCAAAGGAAAACGATCTTAATCAGTGGCTTCAAGTTGACTTCCAAAGATCTACTCTGGTCACAGGAATCAGTACCCAAGGTCGCAGCAATCTCAATCAGTTTGTTAAGAGATACACTGTTTCTTTCAGCCAAGCTGGAGATAATTTTCAGATTTATACACAAGAAGGAACAGTCAAGGTACTTCGTCGATATCAACATAACAGAAAAACTTCCTGTGTTTGACAGAAGAGTCAACTTCATGCATGAGGAAGGTTCATAATTATGCATGTCGAAATGTCGACCACACCCTATTTTTGTTCTTTTCATAACTCTAGGAATTCAAAGGTAACGACGACCGGAATTCGACTGTCCATCAGATAGTGATTCCTCATATTTCTGCCCGTTTCATTCGCGTCCAACCAACGGCCTGGTACGGACATATCTCGATGAGAGTTGAATTTTATGGATGTTTTTAACTGATAATGTTCTATTATTACATAATTATTATGTTATGTAAAATTGTAAAAGAGCAAACAAGATAATTTCGCATATTATAACCAATAACTTCTGTTGCCACTATGATACGTTTTCGTTTTCCAAATGATGTAGTAGTTTTACACAGCATGCCAAAAGTTATGTCTCATACGGTGCGACAAAAGTGATCTGTTACTCCATAAAAGTAATCCATATTAACTGATTGTTGACCTCGCTTGTTTGCAGTAAAGACCAAACTTGCGTTGTGGATGGTTTTCAACAGTGATACACACAGTGGCGTTGGCAGCCTGGCGATTTCGCAACGCTATGTAAATTTCGAGTTTGGAAATTTATTGCGTTCACAGTCAATGAACACTATAAAAATATGATCGTTTAAAATAATAAAAGAATCATGCAGTAATTAACGAGAAACATAAAGTTTGTTCTCTTTGGAAGTTAAAATGCATTCTAAGGTCTCTAAGCTCTGCAAACAGTTTCATCAAATCGCCTTTCTCGCACACGCGCCACGTTGAATTATTTCAATTGGTTTAAAGACTTTCGCATTAATTGACCACGTCCTGTTTTAGTGTATACATGTTTGACATAAGCGTTTTTGTGCTTGATGCATGGTAAAATTTGCTTGTACCCCGGCGCAAATGACTTTTATTATAGTAATATAAATTATACGCTTTACAAATATGAATAACAATATTTAAATTTAATACTCAAGCACAATGACCTTCGACATCTCCTTAATTCTTTGCAAAATTAATGTTTAATTTTTGAAGGCTTATTTAGCATTTTATAAGTCGCGTTAATCTCAACGGGCAAAAATTCGCGAACGAGTCATTCAAATTTTAACATTAGGTGATCTGAATGGTTTTGGTTTTTTGGGACACCCTGTATAGGGCCATTGTCTACGACACTGCCTTATTGGCCATCCATGGAAATCAATATCTGAATTAATAATTAAAAGTAATTAAAAGAAAGCATATTTTCCATGCATGTCATTTGAAAAGCCGACTGAAACGACACAAGTTCGGAATGAAATAACATGAAGATGGTTTGTGGACTCAAGATAATATTCCAATGTTCAATATTATTGCAATTGACTGGCATTATTACCACGCAACAGAATAACATTCTGCGGCAGGGTAAGTCGCCTTGTTGATAATGCTATTGTCGTATTTCAATTGCTAAAGTGCGGTGAGCAAATATAATATATTGCCCGTGGAGAACGTTTAATTACGTTGTGTCCAATTCTGACGATCGAATAACGAGTATAACGAATAACGAGTAATAACGGGCATAACGATCGAATGAAAAGTTAAAACCATTTTGAACTGAGAACTATGCTAATAACAAATGATCTTACACAGTAAGAACAGCGAAGTTAATGCATGTGATAGGAAAGCGAATTAAGATGTCCATGATCATGTTATGTTTGTATTTGTTATATTTTGGGATATGTCGGTATGCTTTTTATTACACAGATCGAGGATGTGCAATTCTAATGTTTCTACTTGCAAAGACACAGAGAAATCTGCAAATTTGTTTAGATGTTGTATTCTCAAACACACTAGTGCAGTAAAAAATCTAATCAGAACCATATCTATACAGACAAATTAAATAGCCTGGCCGGTTTAATACAAAATTCTGCTTGCCTGGCATGAATTATTCCCTTAAACACTGTGCAATTTCCCGGCCAACATGATGAAATTAAGTATTTGAGAGATATTAATTAGTAAAAAGTATTCAAAATGCTAGGAAAACTTTAACAGATCGTAAGAAATGTATTTGTCAATTTTAGATGCCTCGGGAGTACAATTGCATTGCAAGATGCAAGGAAAATTGCATTGTGTAACAGCGCCTTCAGTCACTAGCGTTTACTATGACACGTATAATTATTAAAAGTATGCATGCGTAGCTATATTTAGTGCGCAATCATGGATCAGAGTATAATTATATGTTACCGAACCAGACTAAATTTCACGGTGTTATTGCTCTTAATTAATTTTTTGAGCCATTTCCAAGTAAAATTATTAATTATGAATGAATCCGAAGGAGTTAGAGACAAAATGTCACTCTGTTTTTGTTGTCGCTGGCGTGTGATTCCGGAATTGTGGCAGGCAACATGTTCGTACACAGGTTAAAAAAACGTATTAAAATGAGTTTTTACAATAATTATTGTCAGGGCAGTTATTCCATCTAAATTAGTTACTTCAAGGAATATGTGTTATATTTTGCCATAAATATTACGTTTCCATCCATATCTCTCCTTATAGAAGGTGAACTATTATGATAGCTGCAATAATAAAGATTTGCAGGTCGTATATATAAACATCCAGTTTCTTTATCTAAGTGTTGTCACTATTTTACTTGCAAGTTAACGAAATGCTCAAAATTTTAGTTTGTAACCGAGACATTGTTTATAGTCTGCATTAAATAATTTATTGAGTTAGTTTAACATTTTGCTGAGTTTTCCAATTTGAAAGTATGGAGAATGGTATACTTCTGTTTGGCTGAATAAAAGAAGAGTAATGATTTTATTATTAGCGTAGTAAAATTACTGAATGCTGCATGATAGGTCAAAATCGGTAGAATTTTCATATAGTTTGCATATAGTAATTGAAGATACATAGTTTACATAGATCGGTATTCTAAATTTTTAAAATTAATAAAACACAGACAATCAAGGGCTTATATGCATGATTGGATGGTACTGCGTCATGGAAGACACAATATAATTATGTCCTATTATTGTGCAAACGTATAAATTTGTCATGGTAATGACCAAAAGCGTAGCGAGCTCGATACTTGGGGGGGGGGGGGATGGCATATTCCTAAATTCGCCAAAATAAATAAAATTTTGGAGATGAAAGTTTTTTGCACTAAACATGCTATGCACTAGACAAAACATGCAGCCCTGGGGGACTAAAAGAAGCCAGAAAAGTACTGAAAACAAAAACGAAAATACTGCCAATAGTACATAATAATGGATAAAAGTCTCGCAGGATTCTATTTTCACAAGCAACTATCATATTTGCATTAACAAACTCGTCAATAAATAAGTAAATACAGTTAATAATGCTTTTGTATATAATTATACGTAGCAATACAGTATAATATTGAAACAATGGAATACGGCAATGAAAAGGTTATCTTTGCTCAGAGCAATACCCTAATATTGTGATAATTTGATGTTTTCTTGGCTAACCCTATTGTCATAGCCGGCAACTTGGAAGCCACTAACATTGACAAATAATAAATTGGAAAATATATTTAGGGGTTTCAAGCTTGAAGAAGAGTATCATTGGTCAATTTACAGAAGATATGAGCATATTTTGTGAACTTCATTGCGCTGTACACCGTTTTTGTGTGGCGTATAATTACAAGAAAAGAGTGGATGAAAAGAAGATTAACTGTCAACTAACCAACACAACTGAGCATGAGTTTGAGAAACATGAAGTTGCAAAGGAAGAACTAGTGTGGACGTTTTACAAGTCTAATGTGGACAGAAGACACTTTGTAAGAATGCTTTTATATCGTTTTTGCGAGAATCTTTTGTTTTGTGGGCTGTTACCTTATCGCTTGTTTTATCCCAATTGATTATGAATGAATAATCAATAATGCTATAGATAGTCTAAAACTTTCTGAAGTAAATTTTTGAATTTAATTCACCAATAAAGCTATTCGTTCGTGTTTTTAAAAATGTTTGCTAATGTTGGTATATTTTAATTGTAAACTGCATATAACTAATAGTTCAACTTATCACCTAAAATCTGGTATTGTAACAAAACTATTCCCACACTTCGATTCTAATAATAATAATCTTTTCTATGAAATAATTTATAAAATCGTGATTTTATTTCAATTCTTCAGGCAAGCTGCAGAAACGAAGTAAATAAATGTCTAAATAATGGGTCCTTGATTTGGGATGCAAAAAAGCTTTTGGTTTCGTGTCAATGTTCTGGATGTTACAAAGGAAAACATTGTGAAAATAGTAAGTACATGGAAAAAGATGGGCTTGGGGTTGTAATTTGCCCTATAGCTACGAACGTATCGCACTCCAGAATGATGTAAAATTCCCTTGCAATATTTAATATAACATGCCACTTAGCGGTTGCTACTATTATGCGAGAAGCCTGCACGTAAGAAAACTCGGTTATACACCTTGTATTTTACAAACTTCATTCGTATTATGCCAATCTACACAATAAAGGCACGTGACTCGTTTTAAAATTGTTAATTATTGCACGCTGAAGTTCCAAAGCCATAGCTATAGTGAAAGCCCACCAAAGCTCTCAGCCTTCGGCTTTGGTGGATAACACAACCTTAATTAAGAATTAAAAAACGAGTCGCGTGCCTTTATGGTGAAATAATGCACGATGGGGGAATGTTGGGAGAATACGAGAGAAGCTTGTAAAACACGAGGCGTAGCCGAGTGTTTTACAAGCTTCTCGAGTATTCTTCCAACATTTCCCCAAGTGCATTATTACACCATAAAGGCACGCGACGAGCTTTTTTAATTCTTTTATAATATAAGAAGAAATTATAGGGCAACAACAAAATTTATTCATTTGATCAATAATGAAATTCTCCTTACATGTTATTTAAGATGTTGCTTAGCAACAAAAACTTCAAAAGCCGGAAGCGTGCATTATGGCCTCACAATGCACGCGCGGTAGCCAATCAAATTGCTCGTTATATCATACTTATATTATAATTGGCCTTAATTGATAATCTCGATATCATGCTCAACCTCATTCAACCTTCATTCGTTTAATATTAAGGCGCGTATGTATTATTAGTTGCTATGTAACCATGTAACGAGGTGATATTTTTAAACAGTGAAAAAATGCAACGCATTATCGTAATTATAGATATTGTAAAAGCTCTTGGGATGGAAAGTGGTGCTATCCAAGATGACCAAGTCACGGCATCAAGCGAATGGGATGCAGCCCACGGGGCTGCTAATGGAAGATTAAATTTCACACCTCAAAATGGACAAGGAGGAGGATGGTCATCATTGCACCTTGATCATCATCAGTGGCTACAGGTTGATTTTCAACGAAACACGTTTGTTACAGGAATTAGTACTCAAGGACGCCTTTACACACATCAGTTGGTAAAGAGTTACACCGTTTCGTCCAGCCAAGGTGGGAAAAATTTCCAGACTTATGCACAAGGAACAAAAGCCAAGGTACCTTCACCAATATTCCGTGATTAGAAAACTCATTTACAAAACTGTATTGTTTATTTTACATCATACAAGAGCTGCTTGCAGCCTGTAGTGCAATAATATTATTAATTATACGAGAAATACGAGGTGAGATTTAACAAAGCAATGTACTTTATTCACTACTTCATAAAACAGTGATTTGAAAGTAACAACTATAGCAACAACATAAAGTTAACACGCTACACCACCAATATCGCTGACCCTGCCCGGGCCCGCGTCCCTGAAATGAGACGACTTGTCAACGCTGGCCTAAAAGAAACAAAGTACCCCGCAACATGCATAACATACAATAACTAGGGATACGGAAAGGGAGGGATTAAATTAAATTAATCTCGCCTCGTATTTCTTCTGTACTAAATATTACACTACAAGGGCCGGTTGTTCAAAAGCCGGTTAGCTTAACTAGGGTTAACTCAAATTTTAACTTCAATTTTTTTATTCCTTGTTTATGAAGTTGAACATGTTTTTTCATAAATATTTTGTGAATGAATAGAAGTCTTATTTTTCAAAGTCTTTAGACAAACAGCGGTGCAGAAGCATATAAACCAAAACAGCGGAGTAAGATTTAACCCAGGTTAGCGTTAACCAAACCAGTAGCGTAGCCAGAAAGATAATTGGGGGGGGGGGCATATTCATATATTCGTGATACGTAGAATTAATTTCTTTTCAAATCCATTGTCTTTACAGTCTGTTAACATAAATATATAAATATGGGCCCCCCAATTATTGGTGCTGGCTACGCCACTGAACCTAGCTTTGAATAACCGGCCCCAGGCTGCAAGCAGCCCTTGTATGATCTACAATTATGCTTTAAAATACTCGGCTCATCTTAACAATGCATGTTCAAAGCCTATCACCAGAATACGATGAATTTTTCCACAGAACTGCCCTCCCCATATTACGGTTAAATTGAGGCTGATATTAAGCTGAATAAAGGTGATTTGTTGTGACCAATCCGCAAACTGTAAGATATCTAGAATGGAAAAACCCTGTCTTGTTGCTTCTGTGGCAACAGCCTCCCGAATAGTGTGGCCTGTGTACGTGGACGTATCAATGCCTGTCAGCTGCATACTTTAAGCTCCCTCGTCCACCGTGCATTTGTTGCAGAGGAAACTGGTCTGTGTTGCTTTATGTAGGACAATAGTAACTTGTTAGGCTAGGAATGGTCTGTGAATCTCCATCCAAGTGTGAGACTTTCATATTCTGACAGACATTTACATAAACAAAATAAATCGTTTACAGGAAAACTGGCATGAAAGTAACATTTCCGGTTTTTGCCTTGTTTTACATTCCTAGTTACTTGAGGGAGTTTAAATTTCAATCCCTCAGGGTGAAAGTATCTAAACCGTAAATCTCGAGCAGAAAAACTTGATGCTCTGTATGGAGCAGTCAATGCAAGAAGGCCAACCAATTTGTATGACATCCCTTTAAGTAATTGGCAAACAAGCCGATGGCAACCTACTCCATGGCCATCTATCAATGGTAAAATTGTAGAGAGTGCAGAACGATAAACAATGATGGTTCTGAATTCTTTTCCCTCATGGAACTGTGAAGTAAAGAAATGTAAAATGTTATTTACAGATGGTAAAAGGGAATTAACAGTGACTCTCTCAGCACACAAACTACGCCATTTATTTCATGCAAATAAGTAAGTGCCACTTGTGTTTTGTATCCCAAGAGAATTTCTCCAGGCTAAAAATTCCCTCCGTTTGGCAGTCACTGTTGAAAGTAGCCACCCAGGTAGCCGCAACTGATGAAGAGGATGGTTCTCGTCCCCTTGTGTCAATAGGTTTGCTGCACTGGCAGCAGGTGGGAGAAAGTCTACACAAACTTCTGACAAGAGAAGATACCGCGATTGGGCCGGCCACACTGTGCTAACAGCACTAGATGTTGTACCTTCTGATCAGAATCTGTTAAAGGCACCCGCCAATCAGTGCGAATGGGGGAAAAGCATAATGTCGCCCAATTCAGAGTGAACGCGTCGGTATGCAACGCGAGTGGGTCTGGTCTCCAACTCGCATACTGGTCCAGTTGAAAGGTCAGACGACACGCAAAAAGGTCGATATTTAGAGGGGTTTATTTCTGATAAAGAAGGACGAAAAGTTTTGGATTCAGCTTCCAGTCACTGTATTATTAAGGACTGAATAAAAATAATTGCATCGTTAAATTGAGCGAAGTATTTTGAAGTATGATGGATTTTAAGCAACAAAGTTTCCCACCATCGACAAAAAGCTTGGGATATCGAAGATTTACCAAGTCCAAGTTAAACGTTTTGAAATAGGTTTAAAAATTTAAAGAATTGTCAGAGAGAAAGCGTTAAAATTACCATGCATGGAAGCTGACAACATGCCTAAATATGTTTAAATTCTTACAGGAATTCCAAGGTAACAACGATCAGAATACGGTTGTCCATCACACGGTGATTCCTCATATTTATGCTCGGTTCATTCGTCTTCATCCTACAGCTTGGGAAAATCATATTTCCATGAGAGTCGAGTTTTACGGCTGTTCATAAGCAATAATAATGTAATGTAATTTATTTAAAAGCTTGTTATCCTGTCAATATTCAAGTGTTTCCCGTTGGATATTTATCATGTTGTTAGCACAGGATTATATAAGTGCTTTATATAACAATCTCGCTAGCTCAGCCTTGATAATTTTCAATATCACCCTCAACCACATCCAAACATTATTTTAATACTTCAGTACTGGATGGCCAACTGAGTATAAAAGTTAGTCATTTTGTTGATAAAAAAAATCAATAAAACACAGAAGCAAGGTTGTTAAAGATCAAAATAGAAAGTAAGTCTGCCCTTTTATTCTACAAGCTTAATACAAAGATATACTGTTTACAACAACATATTCAGTGCATAATATTCAAGTTAACTCTAAACGGGCTTGATACACCCGGCCCAAGTTTCCATTTCCTGGTCGTAAATAATTTTCTCGTGAACTGCATTTTCACCGATCACGATGTAAATTTTTCTGTAATGAATCTGTATTCAAATGCACTACCGTGCAAGGCATATCTTCGGTTTTGGCAAAACATATTTTTGCGGGCGGCATATGCCTGAGTAGTGAAACGTACGTAAAGCTGACGGTCAAATGAAATGAATAAAAAATGTTATCACACGTGAAAATCAGTTGACCTGGTTCTTCCAACTAATCAGGCTCCTACTCTTTTTAGCACACAAAATTCAGTAACAAATAGTTTTTATATCCAAGGTCACGTACAAGCAAAATGCACAAGCTCAAACTTTTCACTACACACAACGCTTGACCGGGTCAAAATCGTAAAAATCCTTCCACCCCGAATTGCCATACCGCTTGGGCCGGGATTTTTCCATTATCCACATTAATTCTCGACTAAAATAAAAGAAATCAGCAATCCCTGACGATACATCATCAACTACAGTCGGCAATATATATGAGAACTACATTACTCACCTATAAGATTCTTCCACTATCAACATTAATCTATGACGATACATCATCCACAACAGTCGTCAATATATATGACAACTACATTACTCGCCTATGGGCCAAATTAACCGCTATCTGACTAGTTATTCTTTGTTACACACGGGCCGGGTCACTGGTGGTATACTGGGCCCTAGTGGACGGGTTAGTTAAGCGTTACGCATGCGCTGTTCTCGTACCGTATTGAAAACGTTTTTGATTGCCCCGCTAAAGAGAGTTTGGAGATATCACGACTCAGAAGAAGTTTTGCGGTGCTCTTTTCCAAAGTAAAATAGTTTTGGAGATGTCCTGGGAAGGGTATATTGTTCAGATTTCAGTTGTTTCATTATAATTTATATCTGTTTCAGTCATGACCGAGGGAAGCATGAAGGAAATGTTTACATTTCTGCAACCCAACTTAATGGAATCGTCGATTTCTCTCTTCATTCCTCGTACTATTAGGCAGCGGGCATTGATTGGTCACTATAGTGCCATATTTGCATTGTTAAACAATTTTACAAGTACTTTGTGCGATCATTAATAAGTAATTATCGACTTTTATGACATTAAACTGCTTGGATTTTACATATAGTTTACATAAAGTATTTTAAGGCATATGGTTTGCATACAGTATTTTAAATTTTTACTTTATCATCAGCATGATCAAATAACTAAAACAAAGCTACCGCGTCATGGAAGACACGACATAATTCTATTATTGTGCAAACGTATAAATTTGCAATAGTAAAGACCAATAGCGGGGGGGGGAGTGGCGGAAAGTTTTTGCACTAAACACGCTAAACACTAAACTAAACATGCCGCCCTGGGGGGGGGGGGTCATATTAATATATTTGTGTTACGTACGATTAATTTCTTTTAAAATCGATTGTCTTTACAGTTTGTTGACATGAATATATGAATATGGGCCCCCCAATTATCAATACTGGCTACGCCAATGGTAATGACAAGGCTTAAAACTTTCAGGGGTCTTCAGATAATTATACGAAGGATAATAATATACTAATTGATTTTTTGTCGAACGGCGCTATTGGATAGGCCCTGCATGGCCACCTGCAAAGAGACGCTGACCCACAGCTGAGAACCCATTTTCAAAATATACTCCATCTTTTATAAATGCGAAGATCTTTTCTGGAATCGCGAAATTATTCCAATCTTTAATATCACAACATTTATTACGGTGTATTACGACAAAACACTATCCGCAGCGAGGTAAGTCATCTTGATGTCGTATGTATGGTATCGTTATTGTATGCAGGGGGGTTTGCGATCCTCGATGTCGCGAGTTCAAAGCGGTTGCCACCGATAGTTTTTGGTAAAAAAAGCTCCTGAAAACCCATTGGACTTGCTACCTAACCTTCCGAAGCATGTTTTAACAATTTTACATTACACATGCTTTACTAATGCGGAAGCCTCTTATAATCAGCTGATATTACTGTTAACTTACGTTATAAACTGTCCATCATGTTAACACTACATATAATTATAGGCATTGTACTGACTACCGCACATAAGTTTTTGAACAAACTTATAATGTCTATGACATAAATAATTTTTGCCTATCGAATGAATTTTTTGCAATGTTGCCATGATAAAATTATATATTGAATTCGGTAGCTTTGGGATAATAGAAATCGTCGGAATCTAAATAATTGTTTCAGCTCATTGGGATTCTTATAAATTTCAGTGGAAGTCTGTTATATTGAATTTGTTTTAATAAGAGGTTAGCTTTTTTCCGAAAGTTAATGATGTGGTCTGCACAAGGTATTATGTGTAATTAAAACTTAGGTATAGTATACGTTTATTGATCATGTTTAAATACAGTCGTCCTCGTTGCATGTCATAAACGGATTATTTCATCGTCTCACCAACTTTCCTCATCGTAACACTGACGACTTATCTTTAAGAAAGGTCGACCTTAATTATGCTCCGGGCGTTTCTGCGGATATTCACCTTCCTGTTTCTTGTAACTACAACTGATGTTAATGCAAACAGTTGTTCCCCGACGAACTACAACATCATTGTGAAAGGTGAGTTTCAGCTACGTGTTGTGTTATTAATATTTATATTATGGTTGCCCAGAAAATATTCTTGAGATATCTTTTTCAAAGGTATATCATACAGCTGATAATGTAAAATTCACTAGTAGCTCAATTTAAAATTAAAATAATTCTTACTCAGCAAACTTTGCTGACAATTTCAGGAGGTTCATCATTACCCAATGATGAGATAATATCAAGACACAACGTAACATCTTCAGACGTCATGTTGGGATGTCACACTCACTGCCAAGACGAAGAAAAATGTGTCGGTTTTAACTACAGAACAACGAAAAATGTTGAAAATTGTCAACTGACAAACGTCACAATTAACCGAGCCAACTCAAACCAAGGAGATTGGATATTGATGCATGATGATGATGCAGTATGTTATTAAAAATTCTGCTATAATTTTTAGAGTAACATTTCATTGGTTGAAACGATCCTATATAATAATTATAGTATAATAGAATTTGTAAACCGCACATTCCATCTCTGTCCCATAAGCGCTAAGCGCTAGAGGGTTCCAAACCGCCCTGTTCTAACGCATATAGAAAGAAACTCCAAGAAAGGCGTGAAAAATATCGACATAGCTACAAATATATTTTAAATTTTTGCGATGTAATCTATAATATCTCCAACAGCTTGGACAAGCCTATAAAGTGAAGCCCATGCGCGTAAAGGAAAAACAAATGTACAGCAGGGAAAGAAATTAGGTTTATAGCTTAAATGATTCTTCTTTTGTGCGTTTCCGTCCTCTAGCATCGACTACATAAAAGGCAATTTTCATTAGCACAAAATAATATGCAGCACACAGTTTTCACATTTCATTTATCAAATGAATGTATTTGAAAGTATAAGTCAAAGACCATTGTATAGATGAAAGGCAAATTATCAAACAAGCGATTTTTTCTCACTATTTTCTAATGGCAAAGTGGCTGTGTATTATGATTCGTGAAGCAAAGAGGGTATTTTTCGCAAAAATATGTGAGAAATTAGTCAAAATTCACGATTATTCCACCACAGATTTCGAGTTTGTAGCTTTCTGAATTTTAGCAGTTAGTATACGAATGTATTTTCGTTAAGTACTTCAACGGCAATCATTGTATGCTGAGGTTTGAGTGTCATTACACTCGAGAGGGCTGTTGCCACGCAACGAACACGAATCACAAATTGATATTTGGCAAAGTAATTGCATAAATTGGCAATTTGCTTTTCCCTCTAAGGAAATCATTGGAAAACGGTCGCTGCACGCAAAATTTTTTTTCCTGAAAACACGGTAGATCTTTCTGTCTTACCCTGAATGAAGAATGAAATGCAGATGGAATAATCAACTTAAAGTTATATTTTAATTAAAGGTTTGCTGCAGGGGAGAAGTAATTATATGCCATAATGGAGAATCATTCCGTCGTGATAACGGTAATTACCTAGAGAAAGGGTGGATTGGTGCACTAATTAATTTGCATTACACAAGAAAAGTTAAACGCTAAAATAACCATTTTTTAGATAGATGGAAGGATAGATAGATAGATAGTTTAAGAAATTAAATATTGCAGTCACTAGTCAGTATGACTGCATGCATTATAGCTGATTTCACAAAATACTATTATAACTATAGCTAAATGATTAATATTCTACTACAGTACATACGTGCATGTACATTACAGCAGGAATAAAATTATAAAAGGTTTAATTATAGAGGAAGTTTATACTTTCTTATAGTTCGGAGACACAATTAGCAGACGTATATAAATTTGGTAAAAGTTTATATAATTTATCATTCTGATCTCGTTCATTGGTTTAAAAAGCCGTGTACATAAATATTCCCCCGTCGCAAATCAGTGCACCAGCAATGGATCAACCCCTTTCCAGAAGTGTTCTCTCGTTTTAAACAGTTGTTATATTTGCATGAAGCAATGTTATCTGATTATCATTGACATTGTATCCCTAGCTTTTTCGTGATTTTCGATATTAAGTACTAACTTTTTGAAAATACAATTTCACATGAAATTTTTGCAATCACGAAAAAGCGATTACTGACACATGCTATGATTTCCCTAATGCAGGGTGCAAAAATGCTCTTGGAATGGAAAATGGTTACATCTGTGATGACCAAATCACGGCTTCCAGCGAATGGAGTACGAAAAATCGGGCGGCTAATGCAAGATTGAATTTCACACCGCGAGATGGAAGAACAGGGGCATGGTCATCGCGGGACAAAGATCTTCATCAGTGGCTTCAGGTTGATTTTCGACGGCTAACCCAAATCACTGCAATAAGCACCCAAGGACGCGTTGACAATAAGAAAACTCAGTTTGTTATGAGTTACAGCGTTTCTTTCAGCAAAGACGGGGATTTTTTCCAGGTTTATAAAACAGAACAGACCGAGAAGGTATATGCAATTAAACTGCAACCTTACAAAAAATACGAAATAAAAAAAGACACAAACTACCTGTTTAAAACAACTCGTAATTATGTATATTATAAATCAGGCGCGGATCCAGCCGAAAATCTGACCGTGTCATATTGGACTAGAAATTTTCCGGTCGGGGGGGGGTTGTTGGGGCGTATGGCGAAGGGGCTATGGACCCTCCGAAACAAACATTTTCTGAGCTTTGGTTCTACAATATACTTCAGGGAACGTTTAAAAGCGAATATTGTAAATCCCTGTACTTTCATAAAACCACAAAACCATTTTCAAAATTTTTGGTAAGGTGTTTACGGATATTTCATTCACACTCAACATAACGTGAAATTTGCATACACAAATTATTCACAGCGTAAATGCAAATTTGTATCATAGGGCGCTTTCCATTAAGCAGCCAAAAAGGTCAGACCGGTCATATTTTAAATTGAAATAGAGTATTTCGTTAAGAATATAGCGGTGAAACTGCATTTCCCGTGTTAGGCAGATGTAAATAACGATATACTTTTGTCTGTACCGACTACCGAAATACAACAGAACCGGTCTGGCCGTTTTTCCGTATAAAGGAGAGCGCCCATAGTTCGATTTAAAACCTAAAAGTCTTACCTTACAAGGACATTGGGTAAAGATTTTCAGTATTTGTCTCTTGGGAAATAGCAGTTTAAAAATTGTCGTTGCGATTGTAAACGCGAGCGAGCGAAGCCTGTCTTTAGTAATAATTCCATCATGTTGTAGCCTGAAGAGCGATATTTCCCCTGAAATATGCTCGCTTAGATTTGCTTTTGAAAAATTTCGACGGATTCATGTATTAATGCATTCGATTCAGCCTGAATCAGCCAGGATGCAGCGAACAAACGTGTTATGTATAAACTATATCCGAGTTCGAAGTCGAGAAGTGTCGAACTTTATTGTTTATCATGTTTATTGCGCAATCAAAAACAGGCCACCGTGTCGCACCGTGTCGCACCGTGGCTCACGTGGCAAAAGCTTGCCCTTTGATTGGTTTGCTACACTGCACCGTGTCCGAGCGTTACTATATTTAGTAACAATTGCGCAATAATCTGCACGCTGACCGTGTCAACTAGTTGCTGTGATCGCAGCTTCGAATGCACGACTAGCTTCCGAACATACTCGGCACAATTCGGCAAGCTTTCGGCAAATTTTATAGTTCAGTGTTAACTGAACAATCGTAATATGAAACAAGGAATAATAATTGGGAATTTGTTCCCACTTTTAGCAGGAATTGGTAATAATATGACAACGATTACGAAAGATATTACTCAAATTATTTGTTTTAGACATATATTTCCTTAATTTTGGTGTGATTCAAAGAATTAATATGTACTTCTAAATAATGTGTGAATATTAGATTGCAGATGGGAAATTCTGGATGGGAAAATCTGACGTTCGATACGGTCTAGATCCACGCCTGTTAAAATCACTTCAATTTCACAGTTAAATTGTGAACTATATCTGTGTTTTGTTAGATAAAGGTTGCTGATAATTTTCTGGACTGTTTTGCTCATTTTACTTTCTGTAAAGTTTATGAAACGATTTTACAATAAAGCCCTGGTCAAACGAAAATGATAGTTGATGAGAGTTGAGAAGCGAGAGTTCACACGAGAGTTTTCCAAACATTTTGCACTATTGTTCTGTCACTATTCAGAGTCTAGTCTGCTACGAAATGCAAACCGCTGGCGCTTTTGCAACTCTCATCAACTCTCATGACGGATCAAACGCGCCCAAACTCTCAGCAACTCTCATCAACTCTCATCAAAATTTGAACCAGTTCAAAGTCGATGAGAGTTGATGAGAGTGCACGAGAGTGTATGAGAGTTCGCGGTCAAACGCAAGCGAGACTTGCAACTCTCATCAACTATCATTCTCGTTTGAACAGGGCTTAAGTTTAACAATTGAACATGCCCTGAGTTGCTGACAAATCCAGCAGTCTCTTCAATGACATTTTAATCTAAATTTAAAAATTTAGGAGATTACTGGAGAGGAGACTACTGTATTTTGGATTTTTTACTTAAAAGTGATGATCATAAGATTTCGTCTTTCCGCATCATCACCCGAAGAATTTTCTTTGTTTTTTATCAAATCTGAAACAGGAAATAATTTTCCACCCAGGAAAAAATTTATCAATAATGGTGACATCCCTCTTATATTTTTATATTGAAGTAAAAATTTTCCCTACAAACTTCTTCTTCACAACAATCATGTTACAAAAATGACTACGTATACTAGTAAGAGTGCTATGTTAAAGTTTTAAAAAAAGAAGGAAAGACCATAATGCCATGTCTCATGTATTTTTTAGAAATTTCAAGGCAACAACGACAGCAGTTCTATTGTCCATCAATTGCTTATTCCTCCTATTTCTGCTCGCTTCATTCGACTTCGTCCAACAGCTTGGAATGATCATATCTCGATGAGAGTCGAATTTTATGGTTGTTCCTAATATATATTAATATAATGCAAACTCTATAATTATAATCCCAAGCAGATGTTTAGGCGTCATCTGCAGGTTTAAAGTTATATTCAGTAAAGCTTTTATTTAGTCGCTACCACTGACTAAGGTGACTAGTCAATGCATGGTATACATTTGAAATAATCTAAGTTTATCTTGTCTTTTATGTGCGTGCATGGGGCGTGCAAAATGAGCAGAAAGGCATGCGGGTAAGCAGTGAGCATGCGGTTCAGTTTTCAGTTTATTATTTAGCTCAGTGCAAAAGAAATGACCCACTTATCGATGCTGGCGACGACACCTAGTTCGAATGCTCATAAAATATTATTGAATAATTAATTAATATTTGTATAATATTGATATAGCAACAGATAATATAGAATAATACATGCATGGATGCTTGGAAATATAGAATTTATTTCGAGTGTTGAGAATGTATAGAACGACTGAGTGAGTGCATATTCATGATAAAAAACTGTTTTTCTGAAAAGGTTTTTATCCCTCTTGCTGATTTCAGATCGGTGGATCAAACACAGTAATCGCAAATGTGTTATCATCATGAATAATCGAGCATGTGTTATTATCGCTTTTCAAAATGGCGGATTCGTCAATAAAACACTGCATAATTATTATATAATGAAAGAAAATAAAGGCGATAAAAATGAACTTCATCGCGTTGGGTAACACATTCATGCATGCACGCCTGCTCAGGGTTGATAATGATTCGATAATATCTCGGGATCTTTATAAATTTTGCAAGATAAGTTAATGCCGGTTTTGAGTGCAAATGTATTCATAATATTTCTGAACAAAAGGTGCGGGATATTTGTGTGCATGCACTAATTGCAAGAACGAACTTACTTCACTTTCCCACAAGATGTCTGTTTCACAGTTGCCACGGAAACGAGTGTTGTTTTGTTGTAATTTCGGACGTTTTTCTCAACGTTTCTCATAACAATAAATTTTGCAAAGACTGACAAGCTGCGCTTGTTCCGCTTTTGGTGAAATTCGTTAATGTAATCATTTGCAAGGGAACGCAGTTAATGTCCGCAACGTTTTTACGTTATTTTTACGAGAAAATATAGTAAGCTGATATTCGAGCGAAGATGAAGATCATCAATGGAATTCCGAGATGGTTTCAACCTTCAATATTATTACATTTGAGTTGCCTTATTACTTCTCAACAATATCCAATTCTTCGTCAGGGTAAGTAAAGTGAATTTCTTGTTGTTGTTTTTTCCTTTCAAACATTTTAACATACTATGAGAGAGCCGGAGCATTACTATGTCGATGTCTGTTTTCCACTTCAACCTTATTCGTAGCAAAACGCAGCGTATTCCTTAATTGTTTCAAGGTCGGTTGTTCTAACAAGAAACAGACCAGATTCCATGCTTGTGTAAGGCATTTTGTATTTTATACGATATGAAATGATACATACACAGTACACACTAAATTTATTTCTGCATAGTAATAACTATTTCAAATGACATTCTTCAGTCACTATTCCAGCAAGGAATATCTGTTGCCGTTGCCACGGAAACAAGTCATATTTCATAAAAGTTATAGACACTTTTGCCGACGTTACTTAGTGATGACTAATTTTGTTTACAATCCCAGCTAGCACACAACGTTATCGCAACGTTGTGCAAAGGTTGTATTTTGGTTAAATCATGACTAAACTTTAATACAACGTTCTCACAACGTTGTTAGTCCTAATTCATTTTAGACCACGTTAGATCAACGTTCGTTGAACGTTGGATTCAACCTGGCAATCACGTTTATCTGAACGTTATATTCTGACGTTGCAGAACGTTGGTTTGATTAACGTCGTGTTTAACCGGTTTGACCTACAGGGGCTGCACGATTGTATCAAGCCCGTTTAGCTTAAACGGTGGATAAGTCAAAATTAAATAACACTCTTACATCTCTCTTGAATGAGTGAACTTGAATTTTATGCACTGATCATAAATATGTAGCTGTAAACAGTATCTTTGTATTAAAGTAAAAAACATTTAGTTTGTCTGTTGAGTAAAACGGCAGACTTGCTTTCTATTTTGAACTTATCCAGCGTTTAAGCTAAACGGGCTTGATACAACCGGCCCCCGGTGATATTGTTCGTTGCATCAACGCGGTTACATTGCCATGCACGTTGTGGCAACGTTGTGGAAACGCTGGTTGAAAGTTGAGATTAACGTTCGGTTAGGGTGACATTTTCGTCGTATCAATGTTATATCGCAACGTTGTGACAACATTATTTGGAAGTCCACAATATCGTTTGATCATGGTTACATTTTTGTTGAATTTGTCTGGATATTTTTGATGATGGAAATACTATTAATGTTCAGTTCGAACATCTCGCATTGCGGTCATTAAAGTCATGTGACTACGAATGAACCGATCACATTTAAAATACACAGCAACTATATAACAAAAAAAAATTAAATACATATATTATTAAATTAAATATATATATATATATATATATATATATATATATATATATATATATATATATATATATATATATATATATATATATATATATACACCCGTTTGCATATACATATGCAATTCTAATTAGATTTCGGGTATCTATCTATATATCTATCTGCGGCCAACGTTTTTGCAAACGGGTGTATAAATATATATATATATCTATATATATATATATATATATATATATATAAATATATATATATATATATATATATATATATGTATATATATATTTATATATATATATACATACCGGGTGTCCCAAAAAAAAGTACCTATTTTTAATTCAACAGAACTTGTAAGCGAACTGAAGAATTGCAATCAAATAATGCATATTAAGTGGAGTAATGTCTAACTTAAAGTTTGATATATTACATATGAAGTTTGAACGAGTAGTGTCTGAGATATTCGCGTTTAAAGTCGCAGCAACGTTTTGAAACTTGTCAAAAATCAGGAAAAAATGGCCTATTAAACTTGTTTCAACAATACCGGTTCGTAACATGGTGTCTTGTAACTTTTTTTTTAGTTTTTTTTTAAAATTGTTTTTTACTTGTTCTTATTCATCTGCAAATTCATGTCCACCAGCAGCAACGCACTTTCTTGGCATGCCATCAAAAGACCTTTGGATCATGCATGTGAGCGTCCAAATTGCGACATGACCTAAGAATCGCCTCGCGAAGTTCTCCCAAGTTTTGAGGTTGTTGGTCATGAGGTTGTTGGTCTGCTGCTTTAAATAGCCCCAGAGGAAGAAATCACACACCGTCAGGTCAGGGAAGCGTGGAGGCTCATGAGTCGACCAGGAAATTGCCCCTGTAGATATCGGATTGTTGCATTTAACAAGCCATTTTTTGCTGATTTTTGACACATTTCAAAATGTTACCGTGTCTTTAAACGCGAATATCTCGGAAACTACTCACTCAAACTTCATATGCGATATATCAAACTTTAAGTTAGACATTACTCAACTACACATGGATTATTTGATTGTAATTCTTTAGTTCGTTTATAAGTTATGTTGAAATAAAAATAGGTACTTTTTTTTGGGACACCCGGTATATATATAATTAATATATATATATATATATATATATATATATATATATATACAGTATTTATATATATATACAGTATATATATATATATATATATATATATATATATATATACAGTATATGTATATATATATATATATATATATATTATATATATATATAACAAATATATTAAAATCAAACACACCTTACATATATATATATTTATATATATGTATTTAATTTTTTTTGTTATATAGTTGCTGTGTATTTTAAATGTGATCGGTTCATTCGTAGTCACATGACTTTAAATAAATGCAATGTTTCCCGCCAGGGAAACAAGTGAAAAATTGTTGCCCGCATATTATCATAACAAAGTTTTTTTCGTGTGACATGTAAGTTTTTGTTCCTATACAACCAAACACTTAATGTTTGCTACACCTCGGGAAATAGTGAGTTTTGTTTTCCCTCGAGTCTCAATGTTTACTTCGACTATGTCTCGAGAAACATTCAGACTTTTGGGAAAACAAAACGCACTATTTTCCTCGAGAGCATACACTAATATATAAAAGACCTATACCTTGTAGTGACAGGAAATTTCGTGCAAATAAATTTCGTTCTATTTTTCGCGACATTTTAATGCTTTTTTTGCAAAAGACGGGTAAGTTTTCCTATACAATGCAAGTTTTATTTGCTCGCGCGTGTACGCGAAAAATTGACAATTTTTCCTTGACAAGAAGCCTTGTTCAGAAGCTAGTCATGAGAGCTTTTCAAGAACGAAAAATGCTCGAGTGTACGGCCATCATGCAAACAAAACTCTACAAGGAATTGCGCAGTAAGGAACAGCGCAACAATTGTCGAGCCAATCGAGGAAAACTTGTCCGCCTGTACCGGGCTTAAGTCATAGTAGAGAGGTTAAGATACCCCGGTTCCGGTGTACGGGTACGGGTGAATTACACGTACCCGTTACCGGTAAGACGGGTACGGTTTGTAACTTAAGAATTTTCTTAAATTCCGGGTAAGAACAACACCGGGAAGGAACTGACTATAAAAGTAAATATGTATTCTACATCTCCATTGTAAGTCCTACTTAACTTTATATAACTATAGTATTTCGTGTGTTTGTTTTGAAAATCAAAAATATCAAGATGGCGTTCATAAATTATGTTTGCAAACCATTTTTGAGAAGCCTGTACTGTATATAGAGCTGTATATATCTAGCTGTATATAGCTTGTATATAGACTGTATAATTATACAACAATATGAACACTATATTAATACGTAAAATGTATTTTAAACGTGTTAAAGACACTCGCCGCTTCTCCATTTGTCCTTTATTAAAAAAAACTTTGACCACTTTGTCTTTGTAGTTACCCGTTCGTTGTTTACGTGTAGACCGTCGTTTACAACGGGAAAACGGGTAGATATTACGGGTAAATATGCTGACATCAGCGAGAAATGGAAAA